GAGAGAGAGAGAGAGAGAGAGAGAGAGAGAGAGAGAGAGAGAGAGAGAGAGAGAGGAGTTGAGCTTGTACGGATGCAGCTACGATGAGGATGAGCTGCGTGGGAGACGGGAAAGATGACAATGCATGAGGCTGACACGTGTGCAGCGATGACCCCTCGATGATGATTCCTCCAGACAGGGCAAACTCCTGTTCGCTCGTCGTCGATATGCATTATCCATGACTGTCAAAGTGGATAAGGAAGTGGATATGGAGTGGATAAGGAGTGGGTAGGTGTGCTATGTGTGGGCAAACTCCTTTAAGCTTGGATACTTAGGCTTTGTGGGTGGACAAGACAGGTAATACCATGCTTTGTGACGATGACAAGACAATGGGCAAGATTTTTGTAATTTTTCCACAAAACAGGAAATAGGTAAGAGTCGTTAAGGAGGATGGAACAGAGGAGGGTACGGATGGTGGAGGACTCGAACAGGGGCAGTTTACACCATTTTGTGAGGAGGACAAATCAGATTCAATACTTTGTGAGGAGGGGGAAAGCAGGTACGAAGAGTCAATGGTCTTTTGTGGGGAGGAGACAACCGGTGAGAGTAAATATGCATTCTTTGCGAGGTGGACCAAAAAGAGAGGAAGTCCAAAATTGTCGTTAATTGCGTTGAGAGGAGGAGGAGAAAGCAAACAGGTAAAAAAGGGCGAATTTGAGAGAAGAACATAGCTTAGTACGAGGGGGGGGGGGGGGGGGAAACATGTAATCAAATACTAATCATTGTAATGATCGTTCTTTTGTGAGAACAAAAAAAGAAAGAAAGGGGGTAGGTTTAGTAAATTAAAGTTATTTAAACACTTTTTTTGTGTGGAGTCCGTCACAGCAGATAGTTCAGGTAAGACTTTCTCCTCCTCACACAGTGCGCGTGTTCGATTCCTTCATAACTAATCAATTTTCATTGTATTGTTCCTTCACACACTTTCTACCCACTCGACGTCGAGCACCAGGGCAGAGTGGTAGGCTATTCAGGTTATTCAGCTATTCTTGGCTATTCTGGATATTCAGCTATTCCTTCACATACCCCTGCACATTTTCTACCACTGGAATGCCTGGTGCTCGACGTCGAGTGGGTAGAAAATGTGCAGGAATAGCTGAATATCCTGAATAGCCTAGAATAGCTGAATAACCTGAATAGCTGAATAGCCTGAATAGCCTGAATAGCTGAATAGCTGAATAGCTGAATAGCCTGAATAGCTGAATAGCTGAATAGACTGAATAGATGAATAGCTGAATAGCTGCCAATAAGTAGGACGGACGGATAAGCAAGTGGATAAGGAAGTCTAATCACTAGGGCAGATGTGAGAGAATCCTTCCATTCCTTCAGACTCTGTAAGTTGCCTAACTTGCCAGTCCTCCTCATTCTCTCCTTGGACATGTTTAGCCTCCTGAGGGAGTCTATTTTTGGACTTTCTATGTTTAGCCTCCGGTGTGAGTGTATAGACTGCATTTATAATTTCATACCTCTCCCAAATACAAGCGTGCTACCTTCTTCACCTGAATAGAACGCCCAGTCATTATAGCTGGCTGTATTTGGGGCAACTCTCAGTCTAGGTACAGTGACAATGACTGGGCGTTCTATTCCGGTGAAGATGGCAGGAGACCTGGATTTGCCGAAGCCCGAAGGTCAGCTCTTAAACGCATATAAAGACTGTAGTACCGTATTCACACGAATAGAACGCCCCGTGATTATTGTCGTACCTCGACTGAAAATTGCACCGAATAGTCTATGATGACCGGGCGTTCTATTCGGTTAGGGACCTGCTGATGAGTGCTATTTCGCTACCGTGGAACATGGTACATAGATAGATATCACCAAGGAACCTATTCCCACAGAGAGAGAGAGAGAGAGAGAGAGAGAGAGAGAGAGAGAGAGAGAGAGAGAGAGAGAGAGAGAGAGAGAGAGAGAGAGAGAGAGAGAG